AAAAAAGAAATAACTTAAGTCATCTACGGTTATATTTATAGTCTAAATCATAGTTTGTACATATTTATGCCAACGATTTTGTTATTTTGCACACAATTTATGAATAATTCTAGTAAACTTTTGGATCACATACTCTGTATGACTATTTGCCTCAGAATAGTAACTGCAACAAAGCATTGATCCACATTTAATTGCGATGATAGTTCTTCTATTATTGTGTTCTTAAACTCTGTTCCTTTATCTGATACTAAAATAGTGAAACAGCTATGTTGCAAAATTACTTCTTCCTAAATAAACAGTGATATATTTTTGGTATTCTTTTTCATTAATGCCTTTTCTGTAATATATCCAGTTCAGTTCTCAATTGCTAATACAACATGTTCATATTTTACTACAGTTTGGGGCAGGAGCTCTACACAGTTTATAAAAACTTTATCAAAAAATTCAGCTTATCACAATTACATATATCAGTTCTGGCTGAAGCTTTGGAGCATACTTTTAACACTATTCGCAACTCAACACTATCTTTTTAATATCATCATACATATTGCCAGATCCTATATATACTTCATTTTAACTAATATTAAAGTCTTATTAATTTCTTGATATTTGCTTTCATTTGTCAAATATTCATAACTGGCCTTCACTACCTCATATTTGTTACACCTTCCATAATTACACACTTGGGCGAAGCCCTTTTTTTTAATCATAAGTATAGGTTATTTCCTATTAAACAATATCATTTCATTTTTCTTTTTAAATAGAGTAAATCACATGATTTTACGTGAGACTCCTAGCTCAAGTTTTGTAAATAATGTTTTATTAAAAGTAAGTCACTAAATTTTTGATTTTCAAAACCTACTTTATACAAGAGTTTTTAACAAAACTATCATTAGTTTCAATTTTCTGTATTGGCAGGTCAGGATAACGCAATATTCTATTAGCATTACAATGCTTCTTGTTTGATTTATACCAGACTTGAAACTTAACTGATTGCAGTAACAAAATCTATCTCATTAATCTATCTCTTATTTCAACCTTATTGAACAACTATTTTAAAGCCTGATGGTCTGCCCATATATCAAATACAGTTTCACTAATATATCGTTCATTTATATAACATCTATACACAATTGCTAAATACTTCTTTTCGATCACAGTATAGTGCAACTCATATTTATTTAATTTTCTAGAATCAAACAAGACAAACCTTAAATATTCTTCATTGTCTTCCTGTTCAAGAATATCTCCTATGGCATAATCACAGATATCAGTATATATCTGATATAGCTTTTGACCATTCTTGGTAGCTTGCCAATCAGGTGCTTTTAAAATGATATTCATGCTCAATTTTGCTTAAATGCTTTATTTTTTTAGATCTCCAACAGAACTTAATATCTTGTTTAGTCAAATCAGTTAGTGGCTTTGTGATCTTGCTAAAATTTTCAACAAATATCAATAGTAATTTAATATATCATAAAATGACCTTACTTTAGTTACATTACAAGAGTTTTCTAATCATGAATCTTTTTAACTCTCTTGAAATTCACTTTTATACTATTCTTATTGACTACATATCTATACATTTCAAGCTTATTATATAAGATATAATATTTTTACGCAGCAAATATCAAATCTGCATTTTTAAAAACCTTAGCTAACTCGATGAATGTCTCTAAATATTCCTCTATACTTCTATTTGTCCATATTCTAATATTATCTTGATATGCTGTAGTAATATTTTTCTATCATTCTGCATTTAGCAAATAATCTATTAGCCTTTGAAAGGTTTTATTCATAACTATGTATTGTAATACTTTCAAAGATATGGCTACAGCCACTTTATCATGGTTCTTTTTCCTAATACCTATTTGCCAATACTCTTTAAATACATCAATTGATAAATACTATTTGTGACCAGCTGCTTGTTTCAGAATGTCTCAGATAATTAGCAAAAGGTAGCTATCTTTGATTATATACTTGTTAAGGGGGTTCATATTACTAATAGTCTGTATTTTATCAGTTCTACCCTTTTTCTTCTGTATAGAAAAACAGCGATAAATGTATTCACCTGATTCTTTTTTCAAAAGTCTACACTCAATCATTTCTTTTAGATAGTTTTCAAATATCTGCCTTGTTTCAGGATTATTTATCCTAATAAGTCATAATCACATTGAAGATACAATGGCATTACAGATTCTGATCTCATACTCAACTAGCTTCATCTTCTTAATGTCTTTTAGTTTGTAAGTGAAAATATCTGATACCTTGTATATTAATTGTTTAATTATGATACTTCTTATTGATTCATCTAAACCTTAAGCTCTAGATTAATTAGAGTGCTGTTTTCGATTGTTAATCTTGATACAACAAGTGCTTCTTTTTCTTCGATTGAACCAATGTCCCTTTCATCAGCGCAATTCCAAAAATTCACTCAACTACCAAATGCCAAGTCATTTAAGCTCTCATAATTAATAGGTTTGACTCATCATTAAATTATATTGTTCTTATTTTTGCCTTATTTAAAATTATTAAGGCTTGATCATTTTTATTCAATTCTTCAAATTTATATTTATCTATTTTTATTCTTAGAACTGCTATTATATCATTGGCTTATTGAAATCATTTTTATTATCACTATTCACTTTATCTTCATAGTTACCAATTCATATATCATCTATTTAACATCTAGACACCATTGATACCACAAAGAAAGCAGATCTTGTAAAGAAAGCTATAGTACACCAATATTTGGTTTCTTTGAAATACAAGATGCATTAGGCCTAGCATTCTATAGCATACCTAATAAAATATTAAAGCTCACTGTTTCTATTACATAGAAGCCTTGCTATACTACAACACCTTCTATTTTGACTTCTTATTAAATATATAATCCACAAACTAACTGACTCTATTATTAGCCATACGGCTTTTACCACCTGCTTGTTTCTATTTCAATTCTCTTTTTACAGTATATGAGAATCTAGATCATTCTGGGTCTTTACTGAATCACCATTAATTTTGACTGTCTATATAGATACAACCTTATTTGACCTTGGTTCATTGTTTTGCAAAATACTATGCACAATCCTAATCTTTATATGTTGCTTATTGGTACTATCTCTTTTTGACATGATAGGCCTTTTGTTATCTTTAAATGTGCTTTGGGTGACTACTTGACCAATTGTCCTAGTGTGAGAGTTATCTTTATATCTGATATTCTTTTTAATAGGTTAAGTTTATCAGAAAGTTCAGTGAAAGGTATATATATCACATTTTTATGTGACTTTATTTTTTGACCTTCTTATTTGTTTTCATTGACCTTTCACTTTTCCCAGATAGTTTGAATGCTACTACAATATCATTGTTCCTTTTTCTTTTACTAAATACCCTTATATCTCAATATTTGTCTCTATCTAATAATTCTACCTTCAAATATTCACTACTGATCATGAAATTTTTCTTCATGAATTCAACAAGATGTAAATAAATATTGTCAAATGTTATGCTCTTCTTGGCTTGACTATTGCTTTTATTTTTGTTTAAACAATTCTTTATGACATGGCCTTTCTGACCACATAGATAATATATACGAGACTTAATAGTTCTCTGCTGATTTTGTTTTTTATTCAGATCTTTTACAGTTTTTCAACCATATTTTAAATCATATTTTTAATATTGGAATGATTTAGCTTTTCTTCTTGTTCTATACAATTGATGGTTAATGCTGCAAGTCTATTCATGATGCTATTAAGGTCTATATCTGATTTATTTGATTGTAGAATTTCATCAGATATGTTTGAGTCTTTATATTTCTTGAGAGTTTTGCCCCTATTGTACTTCTCCATCGCTAACACCTTCTTTTTTGCTTTGTCATAGTTTTAGAGCAGCAGTTTCAACCTTTGTTTCTATATAGTTCTTTTAAACTCT